AAAAAAAAAAAAAGAACTGCCTTTTGGATTAGGAAACATGGTTTAATGTAGTGATACTTGCTGCTGTACTCCCAACACCTAGATAGTGTTGAGAGTTCACTCACATATTTGTTGAAACAAATAGTTTACTCTTAAATTGTACTTTAATGGTTTTTTTAGTCATAAGACTTAATTCACATGAATCAGAAAACAAGAATTCACAAGAAAGCTAAATATTAAACAATTTTGAGTACACATCACAAATCAGCCATGTGGATATCACAACTAATAGCATTTTTAAATACCCTAAAGATAATTATGTCCTGTCATTGATCCACTTTCATTCACTCAAAAGATCCCAGCTTGTGGCCCAGAATGAACCCATCTTTGGCAGGATGGATGCTGGGTTTGTAGTTAAAAAGAGAGTACAAAATCTGGGTGGGGTAAGTTGTACTGATCCAAAAGGGTTTACTTTCAAAAGATAAAATGGTTCATGTATTTTCAAGAGAGAAATGAAGTACTTTTTGAAGGAATGTCAAATATAAGGAATCTAGGCCTAGCACATAAAACTTCCAGGAAAAGAAAGTGAGCATTCATTCAAATGAGAAAAGTCCATAATTCTGAATTTTAATCTTTTCCACTTAAATTTTACTTGAGGGCTCATTTTAATTTTTTCCTAAACGGCTAGAGCAATTGGAAGGTCATAAATATTGAAGCTTGACTGTCACTCTAAGGAACATTTTATGATTTTTAAGTTTAAAAAGTATATTAAAATGAAAAACAATTCTGATATTTTGTGGGAGAACGTCAACGACCTTGCTGCACCCTACATTATTACTAAATCATCAAAAATGATGAGAGACTGTGAGGATGCTTGAAATGCAGAGCCACATCTACCCAAAAGATATTTTAATCTTTCTAGCTTCATTAGGAAATGGAGAGGGAGCTGGAGACATGATCCTAAAGGCTTGTTTTAGACCTGTACAAAGTTCATTTAATTCTTCTAAAAACTGCATCTTTCACTCATGTACCTTTGCAAATTGGTGATTCCAGCAGACTTCCAAAACACACAAACACACATACATGCACACAAATGTGTAAAAGGGCTGTAGCCCTCTAAGCAAGGTACTAGTGTGTGTCATGAAAAATAAATTCAATTCACTATTCAGTACCTTCTATTTATCTAGCATCACCATCTGGTGGAAAGAGACGAAATATCCATATACATAACCATTAGAGTTATTTGGTTTTTTTGGTGCTTAGCTTTTTGAGTTCTTTATATACCCTAGAGATTAGTGCTCTATCTGATGTGTGAGGGGTAAAAATTTGCTCCCAGGATGTAGGATCTCTGTTTACCTCACAGATTGTTTCTTTTGCTGAGAAGAAACTTTTTAGTTTGATTCTATCCCATTTATTGATTTTTGGTTTTAATTCTTGTGCTATAGGAATCTTATTAAGGAAGTTGGGGCCTAATCCCACATGATAAAGATTAGGGCCTACTTTTTCCTCTATTAGATGCAAGGTCTCTCCTTTAATTCCTAGGTCCTTGATCCACTTTGAGTTAAGTTTTGTACATGGTGAGAGACAGGGGTTTAATTTCATTTTGTTGCATATGGATTTTCAGTTTTCTCAGCATCATTTGTTGGAGAGGCTATCTTTTCTCCAATGCATGTTTTTGGCACCTTTGTCTAATATGAGATAATTGTAATTTTGTGGGTTAGTCTCTGTGTCCTCTATTCTGTACCATTGGTCTACCAGTCTGTTTTTGTGCAAATACCATGCTGTTTTTTTTTTTTTTTTTACTATTGCTCTGTAGTATAGTTTAAGGTCTGGTACAGTGGTGCTACCTGCTTCACTTTTCCTAATAAGGATTGCTTTAGCTGTCTATTCTGGGTCTCTTATTTTTCCAGATGAATTTCATGATTGCTTTTTCTATTTCTATGAGGAATGCCATTAGGATTTGGATCGGAATTGCATTAAATCTGTATAGTGCTTTTGGTAGTATAGTCATTTTGATAATATTGATTCTGCCTATCCAAGAACAAGGTAGATCTTTCCATCTTCTAAGGTCTTCTTTGATTTCTTTTTTTAGGGTTCTGTAGTTTTCATTGTACAGATCTTTCACCTCTTTCGTTAAGTTGATTCCTAAGTATCTTTTTTTTTTTTAGGTTATTGTAAATGGAGTAGTTTTCCTCATTTCCTTCTCAGAGGATATGTCATTGATATACAGAAATGCCTTTGTATCTAAAGTACATGTATGAAGACACAAATTGGTGTCAATACACTTTAATACAACCAGAGATATGAAAAATTGTGCTGTGTATGTGTAATTCTAAGTGACAGATCTGGAGACACAGACATAGACTTTCTGCCTAGAATTCTGATAACCTGAAAGACCTTTGCCAGATTTTCTTTGGCTTAAAATTTCATTTCTGAAAACAGAAAAAATGCTTATTGTGTCAGGTACTACATAGGCTCTGGAAGTTTAAATGAGAAACAAACTGAACATACATTTTTCTTTCTCTCTGATAGTCCTAGTATGACAGAGTCCACACAATTCAGCAATCTATATGCCAGAATACCATAAGGACGAGAGAAATGCTAAATGAAACAATCAAATTTATTATGGAATGAGACCTGTCTTATATGGTTCACTTATATGCAAACTGGTTCATATAGATTATCAATGGAACTAACTTAATAGAAGAGGAAGCCCGGTGCAGTGGCATACCCCTATAATCCCAGCAGCTCAGGAAGGAGGCTAAGGCAGGAGGATCACGAGTTCCAAGCCAGCCTCAGCAAAAGCCAGATGCTAAGCAACTCAGAGAGACCCTGTTTCTAAATAAAATACAAAACATGGCTGGGATGTGGATCAGTGGTCAAATGCCCCAAGTTAAAAAAAAAAGAAAAAAGAAGAAGAGGAAGTATTTGCCACAAATGGCATATAGTATTATTTTTTTACATAGGAATGCTTGTTTTATATTGTCACATTATGCTTAGTGATCTTACAGCCTACACTAATCCATAGACAGGTTTTAAATGCTTTTGACTCTCTGTATCTACTTAAGGTTTCTTAACTGAATAGAATGACCCATGAAGATTTCCTATGGTCATTGTACTTTGTGGGTACAAAGGCTAAATCTAAGGCCTGAGGGAGAACGGTTGCTTTGCTCTGACAGCTGTGAAATGACTTCTTAATACACTTCCCAAGATGCCTTTCTTCCAGGGCCATTTCTCTAGCGACACCCAACTCTGCTGACTTCGTAGATCATCTCAGACTCCTGAAATTGATGGGAATAGGGAGAGGGATAAAGGGGAGGAGGAGTGCTCAGTATACAAGCCAGACCACCCCAAGCCAATCAATGAAACCTTCTTTGTTGACCATGGTGTCAGTGATCCCAGTCT